GGGGGCGGGGCTTGTGGGTGTTTCCCCCCCCCCCCGGCTCCTTACTGCCAGAGTCCGCTCCTGTGCACTCCCGCAGGAAATGACCCCTGGTCCAAGGTATGGGTCTGCAAACTCTGCATAGCTGCTATGACAAAATTCCTGTTTATTAAAACATGCCAAAATGTGTAATTCAGCTACTTCTGCTAGGGGCTTAGATGAAGACTTGTTGAAATCCTTTAAGTCCCTGGCACTGCTGTGCATATGACTACTGCAATTCTGTCTAGGTTGGAAGTCTCATCAGCACAGAGATGCTAACCAATACGAAGATGCTAACCAACATGACTGCAATGACAGTGGCATTGAGTTGTGCTTCCTGGCATCAGTACTACAAAGTTGAGGCATTCTATGGGGCAGAGGGGAAGTTTGCTTACAATCTTGCTGTCGTCAATACCAAGCATGGGCACCTGAAATCCTAAGAAAATCAAATTTCAGCACTAGACTAGAGCCTAATTCTTCAGACGCTTATGGGTAGATTGAAGGCACCATTCCCCAACACTACTGTTTTTTCAAATCTCTCTGTGTGAGAATCTCAAAGTAATGAAATAATATTCTGTGCTGAAGGTATATTGGCTGCAGTCACACGGAGCATTAGGCACGCTAGAGGGACGGAAGATAGGCAGATTTTCCGGGCGTGATTTCACCGCCACATCTGGGAAGCGTAGAGCTCCCGTGGCGAACCCGAGGCTTCCCGCCGAAGATGCGCGGTTAAAAACTAGTACCTCGGAGGTACTAGTTTCCGGTAACCGCAGGGCAAGGGCGGGCGTCTGATCGCGTTTCCGGTGGTAGTTCCGGCGCCCGCCCATGCCCCCTCGTATAAAGGGTTTTTTCCCCAACTGTCCATGGGATGCGCACAAACACCCAACGGGGCATGCGCACACTTTGGTGTCCAAAAAACCCACACCCATTTGCCGCGCTGCGCCGCTTCTTTGCTGCGGCGCAGGATTGTGGTGTGCTCGGCACCTCCCCCCTACCACAGGACCTCCACGGTACATCTGCTGGCGCAACCGCGCGTTATTTTGCCCCGGGGCAAACAGCCACGCTCCCCCCCCCCCGCATTTTCCTGCCCGTGTGACCCAGGCAATTATTATGTAAGTGTAATATTTACCATATTTCTGATATTCATACTGCAAATAGTAGAAAAATACTTGCTTATATTCATTTGGTACTACAGTCTTTCACAACTTTTTGGAAAAACCTATAGATTTAGAATTGATTTTATAAAATATTCTCCCAGAACAGATACCACTTACTACTTAGATCACTGATTTTCTTAGGCGAACACTGTGTAGCTAATATCTCTAGTTTTCTCGACAGGAGAAACCTTTTGAATTCAAGGCGGGTTTATGTGGGTATTCATGTATAGGATTAATGTCTAAATTTCCGGGCAACTTTGGCATCTAGATATTCCACTGGTTGTATTAACGGAGTAAGCATAAACTTTAGATAATCTGGTATGTTATTGGTGGTGAAAGAAATAATAAACCTGAATATAGAATACATACTGACATTGTTTAGAAAGTGGTGATTTTTTTCCTCATTTCATGGGATGAGAATCTTTATTTTATTTATTAAAGTTATATATCCCGCACCTCCCTGATGAGGCAGGCTCAGGGCGGCTCACTATATATATATAATCTGTTAAAACACTGACATACAGTAAAACCCAAATTAACTAAAATCACAATATATGAAATCGCACATTCAACAGATGTTAGTATCAGATGGCGTCAATCTCTCAGCAGTAGATGGTTGCCCACCACCCTGATCCAGGGTTGTGCTAGGCTGTTGGTGCTGATTACATCCAAACTTATTACTTTTATGTAGCAAAAGAATTCCAGGCAATGTTCCCTCTAAGCTGAGTTAGCGTGAGCTCTCACATTTTTGTCTTAGCTTAGGAAGGATGGCTCCAGCTCCAAAGCAAACTAATTTATGCAGTAGCCGAACTGCTCGCTCACAACTTTTATGCCAGGAGCTCACAAAGTAGAATTTTTGCTCAGAAGACACCACAGCTTAGAGGGAGCATTGATTCCAGGTATGAGTGTTCTGTTCTGATGAAATACTTTAAAATGTGTTGTTCTGTTTCAGCTAGAGAAAGTCTATGATCCCAAAAATGAAGAGGATGACATGGTGGAAATGGAAGAGGAAAGGCTCCGAATGAGAGAGCATGTGATGAGTGAGGTGAGGTCTATATATTAATAAAGTTCTTTACTTTTAATCTGTTACCAGTTTCCAAATGTGCAACGTTATTTCGAATGCCCCCAAGCCACAAGTAAAAAATTGCTGTATAAAAGCAGCACTCTTGGCTAGGCAAATTTATTTATGTAGGTCCATTTTTTAAAAAATATTTGTAGTCAGTAGCAAAACAGGTTCTTCAAAAGCCTCAACTTTGATTTGAGCCTGGTTTGCATTTTTGGGAGAACCAGTTTCTCCCCTTGGTTTTCTTTCTGAGTCAACAGGATGGAGGAGGAATAACTCTATTATCCACCCTAAATGTGGAGGGGGCGTGACTATTTGGTGTAGTGGTTAAGTGTGCGGACTCTAATCTGGGAGAACCGGGTTTGATTCCCCACTCCTCCACTTGCACCTGGCTGGATGATCTTGGGCAAGCCATAGTTCTGATAAGAGCTGTTCTTGAAAAAGAGCAGTTTCTGTCAGAGCTCTCTCAGCCCCACCTACCTCACAGGTTGTCTGTTGTGGGGAGGGGAAGGGAAAGGAGTTTGTAAGCTGCTCTGAGACACCTTTGGGTAGTGAAGGGTGGGGTATAAATCCAATCTCTTCTCTTCTTCTTCTTCTTCTATTTGCTGTGTGGCGCTATGTGTGATTTTATTTTCGAGATGATGTAAGCGGTATAAAGCATTCCTTTGTTGGCTATCAGAAGCCATTTTAAGTTGGGAACAGGATGGAAGGAAGCAGGGGTTTTAAGCGTTAGAGAGGTCCTTTTGCCATTCTGGAGGAGGCTCATGCATAGTATGAAAGTTCCATAGTGAGAGTTTAAAAGCAATGAAACGTTGTACTGTCTGCTATTTGTCCTTCATTTCCCCCACTTAATTTGATTTGGAAATTACTACTGTTCGGCTGTCATTTTCCTCTAAAACATATGGAGCATTAGAGTAGTGTTTGCCGTTATACAAAGCAAGTGTGTGTTTCTCAGTATGCAATTTATTTTAATTGGGTTTTTTCATGCATTTCCCATGAAAGTATATTAGATCCAGTTGACTATAAATGCAGTATAGTGCCTTAAAGTGTTTTTTATCTGCTTGTCTCTTTTTTGAAAGGTTGACATCAATAAAGACCGGTTAGTAACTTTGGATGAATTCTTGAGAGCTACAGAGAAAAGAGAGTTTTTGGAGCCAGACAGCTGGGAGGTAATCATAACATTTTTCAAGTGGAACATGTCGCAACTGCCAGGCTGACAAAATCACCAAGTAGCCTGTTTGAATCTCCAAGTAGCCTGTCTGATTTTTTTCCCTCCCCTTTCCTTGTGTGCTATTATTAATGGTTTTATCACAATAAAATGAGAACAGAGTCCAGGGACAGTATTAGGGCTGCCAAGTGGGGACGGGGGGCAGGTAAACCCCCACTTTGGAGGCCCGATTTCTGACCCCCTGCGTGTGCGTCACAAGGAAGTGACGTGGGCACGCCGGGCATGCCGGGGGCGGGGCCACGGCCATATAAGGGAAAACTCTCTGGTTTTCCCAGCGTACCTGGTGTCCTCCCGTTACTTTTGGGTGACGTGTGTCAGCATGCGCCAGACGCCAGCTGGGAGCTCCCTGCTCCCGGCGAAGATACACTTGGCAACCCTAGACAGTGTGCATAATCCATTTGTTGGGACAGTATTTCTGTTTTTGCTGACTGTTTGAACAGAGGAGACATTCAGCCATAGATCTCTTCGAACAAAGGACAAACTTAGGCTTGGATCTAGTGGAGTATATCCTTGGGTGGAAAAACCACCCACAGACAGAGCATCAATGTTTTGCCTTCCCCCTCCTCCTGTAGCCTGAAATGCCCCTCCCAAATGTTGATCGGGGGGGGGGGGGGGGAATTTCAAGGGGCATTTTGACCTGCAGCAAGAAGGGGATGAGAGAGTTGTTCCCCCTCAGTGGGAAATCCTTCCGCCTGCATATACACTCCATTGGATCCAAGTCATGAATTGCAACTGAGTGAGAACACCTTTTTTAAAAAATTGCCTTTATTTATTTATGTAGCAGAGTTTATGCTATTCTCCCCAAACTCTGAGTTTCAGGTAGAATAGTAAGCATTAAAAACACTTTCCTTCCTTTTTTCCCTTTGAGAGCCACCTTTGAGTTTGGTTCTTTTTTTTTCTTTTTAAGACTCTTGACCAACAGCAGCTCTTCACTGAAGAGGAGCTGAAGGAATTTGAAAGTCACATTTTCCAGCAAGAAGATGAACTGCAAAAGAAAGCAAAAGAACTTCAAAGACAGAAGGAAGAACTTGAGAGGCAACAAGACCAGCTTCAGGCTCAGAGACAAGAACTCCAGCAGGTACTGTTACCATGAATGCAAGGATTCCTGCAACTTCAAAAACTGACTTCATTGTAAGAAAGGGACAATCTTAGCAGTTTTGTATAGTATATCAGCTGGACCTTCAACAGAGAAGTACATGGCATCCTGGTCAATATGAAGTAGGTATTCCCAGAGATAAAAATAGAATAGATACAAGAACAAGAAACGTAGAATACTGAGTTGTGTTCTTCTTTCAGTAAATTCTGTTTTGTTTACTTATTTCATTTATAGTCCACCTTTCTCACAGATAATCAAGTTCTTAATTTTGTTCCTTATTTCTTTTGATTAAACACCGCCCTTCTATTATGCTATGTTTGAGTTACCCCCAGATTCCTGTTTTGTTCATTGGACATGCTGACATCTGCATAGCTTTGTTCCAGTAGTTTGTGAACAGCAACCTGATTTGTTCATTGTAGCATCCTGCTTATTGGGGAGACTGTTTCTCCTTTAAAAAGACACTCTGTGTACATGAACTTAGTAGATTTCTGCTGCCACCAGGAATTAATAATTCCAAATCTCTCTATTATGGTAGAATGACCCAGTGTCTGGGTGCTTCAGAGGACTATGTGGCCCTGAGGAAGGACTGTTCTGATTGCTGGGATAAGTTTAAAGAAATATTGATTTATTTACAAAAGAACAAAATAGGTTTCTGGGTATTTTTGAACTGTTTTTAAAGAAAGAAAATATAACTGACAAAGTTTGGCGTCACACACAGTGTCTCATACACCAAAACTCAACTCTGACAGGCTTCTCTCTCTCTCATATATATATATATAGCCTCACAGGCTGAACTCTCTTGCTCATATATAGCCACACAGGCTAAACTCTACTCCAACTGCTTCCTCTGTCATACAGACTCTCACACAAGCTCTCCACACTCGTCTCTTCAAGAACACAGAATCACCTCAGAGAAATCTCTCCTCCCACACTCAGTCATCAGCCAATCACATCACACTTATCTCCCTATATCACTCTCCTTACATTATTGCAGTCACACTAAACATTTAAAGAAACACACACACCAAAACATGAAATCATTACATTCATCTTCCTGAGAATCCGAATTACTTTCGTTGTCCCATAGACAAATATTTTCTTTAGGCATAATCATAATACAGTAAAGCTGTGTTCAAGTTTTCACTCTGACTTAATAACAGAGTTAAAAAGAATCCAGTTGTGTTGTATGAAAGGATCGTTCTGTTACAATTTGGTTAGCAGATTTCTCATCTCATACTACATATTTGTCATCATCCAACAGGCAGTACAACAGATGGAACTCAAGAAGTTACAGCAAGGAATTCCTCCCTCAAGTCCGAATGGAGAGCTAAAATTCCAACCACGTATGTAAATAAATTTTTCAGAAAAAACTATGTATGTTTTCTTCTTCAGAAATTACCAAAGCCATAGACATCCAAGGGTACAATATTGGGCATGTGTCTTTTCCTTGTTTGCTTTGCCCAGCCCTCCACTGCCAATAAGTAAGCTATTACTAGTCGTCTGCCAGGGTGATTTCTCACGAGAGCTGCCTCGCAGCACAGCGCCGTTTGCCTCGACACAAACGTGTCAATTTCACACCCGAAGCTCCGGGGCTGCATTTTGACTCGGGGCTTCGCCCGATTTCCTCCGCAGTTTCGTGATCCTGGTTTTTGAGGATCATGAAACTGCGGAGGAAATCGGGCGAAGCCCCGAGTCAAATGCAGCCCCGGAGCTTCGGGTGTGAAATTGACACGTTTGTGTCGAGGCAAACGGTGCTGTGCTGCGAGGCAGACCTTGTGCGAAATCACCCCCAGTCTCCCAGAAAGAATATCAGCATTTATTTTATCTTGGGTTCATAACCGAAGAAAACGTCAGAAATATGAGAGGCAAGTTGGGAAGAATTATGTGTTTGGAAAGAACCCAGGGGATCAGCTAGGCCAGCTCTTGTCTTGAGACAGGATGTACTTTAAGAACTTCTAGTAGATGGCTTGCTGACTTCTAGGTGAATGCAGTTGAAGGCCTGAATCAAAATTGGGTTATTTTATTTTATTTATTTATTTGCATTTTTACCCCACCCTCCCCGCGAACGGGCTCAGGGCGGCTTACACAGGGGCATAAGCCCATACATAACATTATATAAAACAGTAAAACCATTAGATCACACAAACAGATAAAGTGCTCCATGCAGACAAGATGGTCCCTGAGGATGGTAGCAGTAATTTCCTTAGGTGAATTTGTCCTGTTGATGGTCCAAGCCAGTCCAGCGGCATCAGTGCCATGCACATTTATGGCCATTCTTCCGGGGGCCACTCCCAACCCTGTTGTTTCAGTGGTGGTAGTAGTAGAAGTGGCGGCCCCTATATAAAAGCCTGGCGGAAGAGCTCCATCTTGCAGGCCCTGCGGAACTGCATAAGGTCCCGCAGGGCCCTGATCTCCTCCGGGAGCTCGTTCCACCAGGTGGGGACCGCCACTGGAAAAGATCTGTCCCTGGTCGCAGCAAGCTTTACCTCCCGGGGGCTATTCTGGTAGACATGGGGTTAAAAGTTTAGTGCTCTGCAAAGCATTTCCCCCCCTGATGATTCTTCTTCGTTCATGTATGACCAGTGAATTCCAGCCTCTGTGGTCTTTCACCTCTTCCGTCTTTTTCCTTATTTTAAATGGTAGCTGTATAATTTGTAAAATACTTGGGTGGATCCTATTACTATCCTACCACTTCACTGAGCAAAGTCTAAAGACTGCCTCCAATGTAAGAGGCACTTCTGTTGCAGGAAGTTTCCTTAGGCTGGTGGAAGGCTTCAAGCTTTACTCAGTGGTGTGGTAAGATCAGGTTCAGACCCACCTTCTAGTTCCACCCTTTCTGCTTCACTAATTCCCTTCTGTGTATACAGTTCTCTAGAGTTTCCAACCACTGGGAGGCTATGGATTTGTCAGAGAAAAAAGAGAGGGGAAAAGTGAGTGGAAAAATGGACAATAATGAAAAACATTCCTCAGTTTGGGCTCTGATACAGAGCTAGGTGGTTAGGGCTCAAGCTTCTATAGAGAGGCAGGATTAGGCTAGATATCCTGTGACAGACCGGTTAGGTTACCTCAAAGAAATAGCATTTCAGTGACTTGTGAGGGGATTGATGGAAAATATCTTGAGAGACAAGCTAACACTGTTTCAAGAATTTGAGATTCCTGGATTTGGTGATCCATTTCAGGTAAAGCCCATCCAAACTGGTGAGTGAGGCTGAAGGGTAATTCTTTATACCCTTTTGCTGGAGGAGTGGAAGGGCTTTTGGCACTGGAATGCGTGAGTAATTGTCACGACTCAGGTGGGGTGTCACCTGACGCTGCCACCACTCTGGATTTAGGTTCCCTTGAGAAGGCCCAGAGTACCCTCCCAAGACCTTCAGACCTCCCTTTAGGCCAAATAACAGGCGTGAGGACAGGCAGAGTAAAACAAGGAAAAGGTTTATTTTATAGGAGGTCAAACAACAAGGTGCAGAGTAACAACAGTAAGTGGGTGAAAAGAAAAGAAATAAAGTGTCCTTACGCGTCTAAATATACTGTCCCTAGCTCACTATCTCAAGTGGCCTTACACTACTCACCCCTCCCTCAGGATGAGGGTTTTTCCCCTGCAGCAACCTCTCTTTTGGCTCTGCCCTCTGGAAGAAAGAACAACTCTTCCTGCTGCTCCAGAACTTTTATTCCAAGCCCTCCTCTTTTCCTTTTGGTCCATTTTGGCTCCAAAACCTCCCAGGGGCTTCTGGGAGTTGTTAGGCCCAGCCTCACCTACTGCTAGCCAGGCTCCTTGGGCCTAGTAGGCCTCTGGTGGCACAGCCCAGATCATGACAGTAATAAAAATTGAATCTTCTGGAAACAGATCATCCTGAAAGGAGTTTCATTGTCTGTGTTGTGGAGGGGAGTTTCCCCTTGCGTCAAAAACATTCCCTTGAGGAGATTTGGAAGTTAAATAGGTAAGCATCTACGGCCCAGTACTTGCCATGACTTCCTGTCTGGTCATTGAGATATGGAGGAAATTGCTGGAATTGGCCCATTGCTTATTGTTTTGGAGATCTGGGTGGCTGTTGTTGAGATCTGGGTTGAGATCTGGGTGTGTTAAGTCGTGCGCTTAACAAGAGTCGGAGAGTGATTTCAGCAAGAATGCGGTTTATTCTTCAGCTTAGTTACGGTACAACGATCGCCAGCCAGAACCCATCATCAGAACACAAGACATACACTGGCTGCTCTGTATTTAAACATTCCCGGCTAATGTAGCCACACCCCCTGTACAGATACCAACCTATGAGGTTGAAGAGAATACACCCAATCACAAGCGGTCCCGCTTTGTACGGTGATTGGCAGACACATTCTGGGCTAGGGCTCCTATTGGTTACATTAGGATCCTAGCCCAGAGGCGAAGCTTAACATGGTATCTTAATGGGACGGTTCACATAGCAGTTATATATACAGTCAATACATAACAGGGTGGTCATGTCAACCCCATTTGGTTAGCAGATTTCTAGGGTTGCCAAGTCCCCCCACTTTGGAGGCCCGATTTCCGCCCCCGCGGAATCGGGCCCCGGGGGAAACCCCACCCCCGCATGCACGTCACCCGGATGTGACGTCATGATGCCAGGCACGCTGGGGGCGGGGCCACAGCCATTTGAGGGGAACGCACACTCAGGATGCCGGGCAGGAGCCCTCCACCGCCAGGTAAAAAAGATTTGGCAACCCTACAGATTTCTCATCTCATACTACATATTTGTAATCATGCAACAGGCAGTACAACAGATGGAACTCAAGAAGTTACAGCAAACATTCTTGAAATGTTTAGTGTGACTGCAGTAATGTAAAGAGAGTGATAGAGGGTTGTTAGTTTGGATCAAATTATCTGGGAAGAGACTCCAAGGTCCATGGGGAAATGGTATCAATTGAATCTGTCTTGAGGTGGGTATTTGTGCGATTGACAGAGGAGCTGCCCTTCGTTCCGTCCCTGGTGTGACTCAACTCCCATTCGATATTAGTTTCGTTCAGGCTCCTTCTATCAATCCTAGGACCACACTGAAGTATACAAAATGGGGAAACAAACCATGCCAAAAATGGCCATCACCATCTCCTATCTGTAACTACAGCACATTATTCATCCCATTCCTTCACAAAGGCTCAGGCAAACAGTGACAGTATTAATGGTAAAATCAGAGGTCATTTCGGGGGGGATTGCGGGGGATCGCAGTTCCCCTGGGTGAGGTACGGGGGCAGGGCACATAACGAAGCCCCGCCCCCCACTTCCGGCCGCCCCGCTTCCGGCCCTCATTCAGCCAGAAGGAGGCAGGAGAAGAGGGAGGGTAAGTTGCTTCCTCCCTGCCTCATGATATCTTGTAGCTCAAACCCCATAGCTGGGCAGTGAGGTTCACCCCAGTATAGGCTGAGATTAGCATTGAAATTGTTCAGTGCACCTTTGGAGGACTACGACACTCCAAAGCAGGCAGGCATTGATCTTAAATGCATATCAGGACTTTTCATTCAAAGCATAAATGCTTAGACAGCTATGTACTACAATAGGGAGAGGAGATCTTGTTCTTTCTTAGAGCTTCTCTTGCTTCAGAAATATACTTGCCATTGATTTCATTCAAGGAATACTTTTTGTTATTTAGAAGATTTGCATGTGGAACAGTCAATTGCTGTTCCCCAGCATCTATATGACGTGCGTAGTAATTACAGAATAGGGAAGACTGATTTTTTAATTTGATAATAGTGCTCATTCCCTTGTGAGAAACCACCGTTGACCACAGTATGATTCAGAGCCAAACAAACACCTTGATACTTCTGCGGTGAATAATAAAGGAGGAACCTAGAACCTTAAAAAGGATACTATAGCTTTGGGAAAAAGGGCAGAAAAGGGCAACTAAAATGATAAAAGGGTTGGAACACTTTCCCTATGAAGAAAGGTTAAAGTGCTTGGGGCTCTTTAGCTTGGAGAAACGACGGCTGAGGGGTGACACGATCAAGGTTTATAAGATTATGCATGGGATAGAGCAGGCAGAGAAAGAAGTATTTTTCTCTCTTTCTCACATTACAAGAACTCGTGGGCACTCAATGAAATTGCTGAGCGGTCGGGCTAGAACGGATAAAAGGCAATACCTCTTCACCCAAAGAGTGATTAGCACATGGAATTCACTGCCACAGGAGGTGGTGGTGGCTACAAGCATGGACGGCTTCAAGAGGGAATTAGATAAATATATGGAGCAGAGGTCCATCAGTAGCTATTAGCCACAAGGTATGGATAGGGACTCTGGGGCAGGGGACGCTCTGTATTCTTGGTGCTTGGGGGGGGCAACAGTGGGAGGGCTTCTAATGACCTGGCCCCACTGCTGGACCT